ATTGTTATTTTAGCCACAGCCACTATAACATCAATTTCACTAACCACTAGTATTCATACTGCTGATGTTATAGAAAAAGTTATGACAAATCTCACCCAACAAATGACTGAAATAAACTATTATTGATAAAGAAATATTATCTCGATTTTAAGCTCTTGAAGCAGCTATACAATGGCTAGGTGATCTTCAAGATGCCCAAACTATTCACCAAACACTGCAATGTGATTGGGAACATCAACAGGTGTGTGCTACACCTTTGCCCTATGAGAATAGTCTTCACCCATGGCAAACTATGAAAGAGCACCTTTAGGGAGCCTTTTCTACCAATCTCAGCCCCCAATGTTATAGTCTAATCAGCAAGAAATAAGAGGAATCCATACATAGCCAAATTTATTGGAATTTTATTGATAAAGCCAGTGGCATATGGAGGACTCATGTCTCTCAAAACCCTGCAGCCCCGAGTGAAAGTAGTAAGGTATTTTGTAGTTTTATCAACAGTACTAGGGAGAAATGTTCACCTGTTGAAATATCCATTTTGTAAGATAAATAATAATGTGATTGAATGTATGGAAGAAAATGAAATGAAAAAATAATTTAAAAAGATAAATAAAAATTAAAAATAAATAAATAAAATAAAGGAAGATATGACATGAAAAAAATAAAGTAGAGGAGTGCTTATATAGGCCAAATTCATAATCAAGTCTGGGTTTATATGGTGACTACAATGGAAACTGAGGAAGGGGTTGAGGAGGAAAGGTAGTGGTGTTCCCATGTGAAAGCAGTTATTATTCATTATTTCTCAGGGCACTCTCCAGACCTTTGATTAATGGTCCCCATGACTCTAGGTGGAGGGTCTGGTGATTGGTGATTACATTGCCAAGAAACAGCTACACAGAAAGGTTTTGGGCTACTTAGCAAAGATAGTAAGACTATTAATTACTCTACTTTGGGAACAAGGAGGAAGCAAGTATAACATAAAGTTCAAAGATGGAGATGTTTCTGCTTCACCAAGTATCACATTTAGAAACCTCTCTCCATGAACAGTTTGCTGATATACAAAAGGAAACTCAAACATCTACCTTACTGACACTTCAGGATAGTTTCAAGTGGCTGAATCCTTTTATCTGGTGTTGTAGAGTACCCCTCTCAGGAACTGGGACAGGGTGTAAGGAGCATCCTAGTTGGGGTGTTATTCAGCCACTCTAAGGTTCCCAGATCTCGCTGGGGCCTCCAAATGCTGCAGAGTGCCACCGAATGAACAACCACCAATGCCAGATTAGGTTTAAAGGGAGTCTTTATTAGCTGGCCAGTGACTACAGTCTGAGGCTGGGGAGGGAGGGGGGAGGACCTAGAGTCAGAACTGTAGCCCCAACTGCAGTTGGAGCAGTCTTTTTATAGGGGGTCAGTTACCAGGGGTTTCTATGCAAGCAGTTAGAGAAGCTGAATCAAGCAGGTTAATTATTTCTGAGTGTGGTTTCCACATAAGCAGTTCCATTGCTAAACAAAAGGGATTCGGGCTAGTTAGCAAAGACAGTAGCAGGTACAGGATGTTGCCCCGGATATGGCTTTCTGTATGGCTAGCACGAGCTATTTTCTCATGGGAAGAGCAAGCAGGTTTACAGAAGCAGACAGCCATGTTAGGGTAAGGGAACAAAATGGACAAACAGTTGCTCATATGCAAGATCTAATATGCAGCCTTCCACACTGGTTTGGGTTTTAACCTGGAGCCAGTCTGTTACTGCCATAAAATATATTTCAAAGCTTTTGCTGGCTAAGTGGTATTTTTTGGATTGAAAATATTTGAACATTTGCCCAAATAAAGCAAAACTGTAGAAGTAGATAATTGAAAGCCCACCATATATAATTCAGCAATGAAACCATCACTGAAGGTTTTGGCTAACGTTTTAGAAGCAGAATATTCCTACTGGGTTTATCCATTCATTCAACACATTAAAGACCTCTAGCACCCAAGGACTGTATGCTTCTATCCACTTTTATCTGTACATTTTCTTATTTAATCTTCCCAATACTTGTATTTTTGGCAAAAGAAACTTTATTTTAAAAAGTCAAAAATGTGTCAAATTCTCACTATAAAAAGAAGAGCTCTGAGAATCCATAAACTAGTTGAAAAGACAAGTACTCAACAACAATATCCTAAGGTAAATGCATTCATAGACAGGCATTCTCCAGTGTAGCTCCAAGAGGGAAGTTTTGGAAAGGCTTTGAAAGAATGAATAAAACTTTGATTGGTAAATATGGGGCTGTGGGAGAGGAAGGAGACAGAAGAGAAATTCAAAGCAGAGAGGAAGTTTCATAGAGGCAAGATGTCCCTCCAATGCCCGATGGGGTCATGGAACAGCAAGTTGCTAAAATTTTGGTGAAGGGATAGGATAGTAAGAGAGGTCAACATGTGAAACTCAAGACAAAATGAGATATAACTACAGCAAGCAACAGGAGCCAGTAAAGAATTTTGACTAGGAAATAATTGGCTCAGGACCATGTTTTAAGAAATATGTCCTGGGACCAGCAGTTAGCATAATGGCTATGTCGCTGGACTCCCATGTAGTTGACCGCGGTTTGCATCCCGGACCCGGTGGCTTAAAACTCACGCCGGGCGCATGTGCGTGTGTGCCCAAGATCCTGAGAGGAGAATGGAGGAAAAGGGATTGCGGCATGGCCAACCTCCCTGGGGGGGTGATTTCTCGCTTTCTGTCTCTCTGTCTCTCTCCGTCTACCTGGCAAGCGCACAAGCCCTATAGCAAAAACCTCCCCCCCCCAAAAAAAGAAAGAAATATGTCCTAAAGTTCTTAACTAATACATGGTAGTCTGGATAAAAGGACAGACAAGATGCAGGGAGGCTGGTTGGAGATTATCCTGTACAGGGAGTGGGGGCGGGGAGAGGTCCTGCCAGCGGAAGGGGAGAATTTCATTTCCCATCTACAGTGCTTTCTCTTAAGTTCTTTTTGTGTTTATTCCTTAGAAAATTAGGTAGCATTCCTTAGCTGATTTGAAAGAGTTTTCGTTTGTTGGTGGGTTGGCTTGTTCTTCATCTGGGAATTTAAAAGGAAGTCTTTTCATACAGTAGGAAGATATAATCCAAGTGATTTTCCAGGAAATTTAATCCAGAGACAATGTAAAGAATGGGCTTGAGGGAAGCCAGTGACTCCTCACCCTGGTACTGGCTTGTAACGAATGGAAATGAAACACCAGTGATCAGTAGGAGACCTTGAAAAGATGGAGTCAATAGAATCTGATTGGATGGGGAGACTTTTGAGGACTCCCAGATTTTAAACCCACATGCCTAAGAAAATAATGGTCCTTTTGTGGGAATCAAAAAAAACACAATGATTTGGGCAGAGAGGTGCTTTGCTTATTTTAAATAGATTGAACCAGAGTGACAATAGGACTTTCAGAAAGAAGTATCTGGAAGTTGTTCGAAGGTTGGAGCTGGTATGCATAAAAGAAAGGAAAGTCTGAGGACAGTAGAGTCAGAAATTGTCTGTGTAAAGCTAAAACCGGAGGTGATAATGTCTGTGCTGAGGAATAACATGGTGGCAAATGAAAAGATGACCAAGCACAGGCCTTGGAGGAAACAGAGTGGGAGAAGGGGACTCATCCAGAGAGACAGGAAGAATGGGGGTGAGAGAAGCGGAGCATGCAGTTGCAGATGTGAAGGGAGAGGTGAAGTGGAAACGAGCAGCAGACTTCCCAAGGAGGTTGAGGGTGGAAACACAGGGGCTGTGTCTGGTGATAAAGGGTCACTTCCTCTCCCACCTCTTTCCAGGCCTCTAGAACTTCTCTCCTTTGCTGCCCAATTGTGGATGGCACTGATGAAGGGTCAGCCACCAGCATTTGTCCTGTAGATCAAATGCTCCCTAAAAACAAAGACTGTGGGAGGGGAGGTCACCTAGCAGAGCGAAATGGAGTAGGGAGTGGGGTGGGGGGAATTAACCTGCTCTGTGAGAAAGCAGTTTTGGAGGAGTGTTGGAGTCAGACGGTCAGATTTTATGAAAAGGAAATTGGTAAGAAAGCAAAGAAGCACCTGACTACGCAGAGCGTGGGCTGAGAGTTATGAGAAAATTACACGAAGAAAGAAGCAGAACGAATAAAATATTTCATTCTAGGGTCAGAGAGATTTAAATGTGTTCCTAACTGTGACAAAAGCCAGTGGAAAGGAGAGCCTGAAGATGGCAGTGACGCGGTAAGGACAGATAGAGCGCGTTTGAGAAGGTGCTGGGGAAGACAAGGGAGGGTTAACCTCGGCCCAGGGCATGGGAGAAGGTGCAGAGGAACGAGATGAGAGGTGAGTTCCGTGAACAGACTCTGAGGAAGGAAGGTATGGTCTAACGGGAGGGGAAAAAAACCCTGAACCTTGAAAACCCTGAGGTCTTAGTACTGCCATTCATCCGCTGCGTGACGGATGGCAAGTGACTTGACATTTTTTTCCAAGCCTCAACTTCTCTTTTACTAAAAATGGGGCACTATCTTCCAACTCCAATAACTAGTGTGGTCTCACCTCCTTGCAAGTGGCTTCGTACGTCTTTGTTTTGGTCTGCTTTAATTTTTTTTATTTTTATTTATTTATTTTTTTGGAGAGTTTTTTTTTTTTTTTTTTTCTATAGGGCTCAAGTGCTCACCAGACAGACAGAGACAGAGAGACACAAAGCGAGAAATCACCCCCCAGGGGGGATGGCCACACAGCAATCCCTTTTCCTCCATTCTCCTCTCCGGATCTTGGGCCCGCACGCACACGCGCCCGACGTGAGTTTAAGCCACGGAGTCCGGGCCTCGAACTGTGGTCGACTTCGTGGGAGTCCAGCAGCATAGCCATCACGCTAACTGCTGGTCACGGGTCCGCTTTATTTTGACATGTGTACCTCACAAGGTAAGAGCACCTGCAAGATGGTCCAATCTTAGCAGAGTAGGAGGGGCCATCTAAGCACGGAGACAGGTGCGCCATCGGTCAGGCAGATGGATGCTGGATATAGGCTAGGGAAATGAACACTAGGTGAATAAAACGGTCTGTGGTCGCCTGAGGACTGGGAACGACTAGGGCACAGGGCTGTCTGGCCCTGGGGGAAGGGTGCCGGTAGCTGAGAGGTGTGAAGTAGGGCCACACACCTGATGGCTGAACTGCGAGAGGCCTGCGACCCGAGATCCGCGTAGCAGAAGGCTTTGGGATGGGCTTCACCAAGTTCCGAGGCCCTAGAAGTTGCCCAGGTGCGTTAATTTTCACCAGCTCAAAAACGGATCTCAACCCAGAAGTGAGGAACTAGACACCGGAGCTCGGTAACCCGGCGAGGAATGCGGGCACGTTCAGGCTGGGGCCGACTCGCTGGCGGCCGCTGGCCTGCCCAGCCCTGCCCTGGCCGCGCCCTGAGCCGCGCCGAGTGGAACTCGAGGAACTCCGACTTGGTCCGCGCGCTCCGAGCGACCGCGGCCGTTCCCGTCGGTAATTTGCTGCGTGTGGAGCCCCGCCCTCGCCCGCCCAGCGGCCCCTCCCGCGCCTCGGAATCCGGCCGCTTCCCGGGACCGCGCTGGAGGCCCGGCGGCGTCAGGGCACCCATGGCGCTGCCCACCTGGCTGCAGCCCAGGTAGGGCGCTCGGCGAGGGCCCAGGGAAGGGAGGTGGGGATGGGGCGCAGGAGGAGGGGCCTCGGGGCGGTGCTGGGGGCCGCTAGTTGGGGTTCCCCCCCAGCCTCGCGCGGGTACGGGCTGGCGTCGCGAGCGCACCCCCCCGCTGCGCCGGGACCCCAGAGTTCTTGACAGGTTTATCTACTTTACTTCTCTCCATAGCCCCAGGAGGAAGGCTCTGTCATTTTCTCCATTTTGCAGATGATGAAATGGGAAGGACCGGCCGCGCAGCCACCCCTTCCTTTGGGCGCCGTGTGCCAGTCCGGCTCCCCACCCCACCCTCGGAGCCTTCCCTCTGACTTCCCTTCTCAGACGCAGCGTTGCGGGTGATTTTCGGATCCATCTGCTGCAGACTTATCACAGGTGTAGAATCCAGGGCTTAGTCCTAGGAGGACCGATTCAGTGGTGTAAGGGGAGAGCCCGTGAATGGATGTGAATGTTTAAAGAGCAAGCCAAGGGATTCTGTTATGAGTAGGAGGCATTCCTCTTCCCAACTCCTTTAGCAGCGCCTGTCCTCTGTGGGCGGCCAAATGAAAGCATCGCACTTTACAATATCTGCATCCTAGCGTCTGTGCCTTGTTTCGAAGCGGTTTCATATCTCCAACTCAAAGGACCTTGCCTACCCGGGCAAGGCCACTCCTGCTTTCCTTCTGAATCCCCAGGAACTCTGCAAACAAACGTTTCCTAACTCCTTCAAACAGTGTATCTGTCAAATCTTCTCTTAGTCATCTCCCCAGCAACCCACAACACATTTTTAAACCCAGTCTGACTTCCCTTTTCTGCTCTGAGCAACTAAACTGCTTTCTATGTGTGTTGGATGAAGGAAGCTATCTGCCCTTGCGAAACACACTAAGCAGTGACAAGGTATCACCCCAATCACAGGATGCATTCAAAAGTCAGGTGCGCCTGATTACTGATTTATCCGCCATTTGAGACCACCACTGTCACTACTCCTTTATAAATCTCTCAAGTTCTGCACTCAACAGGCTGAGTTACTGGAACCTATATTGACCACATCAACCCTCTTTGTGTTTTTTGTTTGTTTGTTTTAAAAAATATTCGAAACTAGGGGCCGGCTGGTAGCCTGGTGCTTAAGGAGGTTGGACTCCCACATAGCTGACCCTGGTTGGAACCAGGGACCTAGCAGCTTGCGTTCTCAGTTTCCTTCTCTCTCTCCCTGTCTCTCTCTGGTCAGAAGAAAAAAAAAAGACAATGAATAAAATTAAATAAAAAATAATTCTTTAAAAAATATTCAAACTGTGTTTGCAATGACTGCATTTATCCCTTTGTGAGCAGCAAGTTTACAACTTAATTGAAACAGAAGCGAAACACTTAAGGGACACAAAAATGGCGAACTATCTGTTGATAACGTGTCATAATATCTTTAACTGGACTAATACATAGTGTATTTATGATGGGAAAGTTAATTTTATAAGCTGTGATGCTACACAGTGATCGAATGTATAAAGTATAAATAAACAAAAAAGAAAAAGAAGAAAGGTTTCAGGCAGACTGCAGCATACTCAACGTTGGCAGATAGCATGTGCTGTGGGTCCCTTCGTAATCTTACTTGCATTCAGAAGCAACTAAATAAAAGACTCTGCTCTGACATAGAATAGTTTCTCCTGCTTGCTCAGATTAGTTAGTACATCAAAAGACATGTGTGGGACCAGCAGGTGGCATGGGGGTTAGAGCACTGGACTCCCACAGGGCTGACCATGGTTCAAGTCCCAGACATGGTTGCTTGTTTTCACACTGTCTCTCTCTCTCTCTCATCCTTCTCTCTCTCTCTCTCTCTGGTCAAATTAAAATAAATAAATGAATAAATAAAATTAAATTAAATAATTTTAAAAAGACATGTGTACAATGATGAAAGGACGATTATAAAGGATGTTTAATGGAATTTCCCTGTATTTAGTTTAATGGAATTTCCTTGTATTTATAGGTATAAGAAGAACACCTATCTTTTCATCTATTACTTAATCCAGTTCTGTGGCCACTCATGGATATTTACAAATATGACAGCCAGATTCTTTTCATTTGGAAAAGGTAAAACCCCAAATCAATTTTGATTTTTAACTTTTAATACTTGTTTTCACCTAATCCTACTTATATTAAATTTCTACAAACTCACTTAAGAGCCCTCACTTCTCCAAAATAATTTATTTCTTTATTTCTTTATTTTTAGTAACCATACTGCTTGCTTATTGCAAAAAACAGAACCTTTTCTGGAGAAGGAGGAAGGTTTGAAATGGAAAAGCTTCCCCTAAGTAGGCCATTTTCCAAGAAAACAAATACATGGCATTGGGGCGGTGCCATTTCACTGTTCACCTTTGGTTCTGCATCAAACTTAGCAGATTTTGTGTGCTTAGAGACAATTTGTAAATTCCGGTGTAACATGTTACGGAGATAAATCAGGAATGAGCCAAACTCTGCGAGTGTTTTTATTCCCCATGTTTAGAGTAACTGGAGGAAACTATTAACTGAAAGACAAACTTCATATTCCCCAAGTCTCTTTTGGTCCTGTAAGAAGTAATGTGTAGATGACACACGTTGAAGATGACTAATCACTTACATGCAAGTTGGCATTAATGGTTTAAGTCATAAGCTTTCTCCAGTTCCCTAAAAAGTAAAGACTTTGTTTTTAAATGGCATTGCAAATTTTAAAAAAGTGAATCACTAAATGACCATCAAATATTCTCTTCATGTCCCATCTCCAAATGGTTGTCATCACAGTTTACAACCGTTGGGTGACGTAACGATTTGAGCAACTGCTTACTTCAGCTAAAAACAAACATGTAGAAGATGTTTAAGAAAAGTCTGGAACCAGCAGATGGCATAATGGTTACATTGCTGGACTCCCACATGGCCAACTGCAGTCTGAGTCCTGAACCCAGGGTTTCAAACTCACACTGGGCACATGTGCGTGCGTGCTCAAAATCCCGAGAGGAGAATGGAGGGGAAGGGATTGCAGCATGGTCATCCCCTCTGGGGAGTGATTTCTTGCTCTCTGTCTCTCTATCTCTGTCTCTCCAGCAAGCACATGTGCCCTATAGCAAAAATCTCTTTTAAAACAAAAACAAACAATAAAAGAAAAGTCATGCTGCACTCGTAACCCAGACTTCTGCATTATAATGAAATTATTCAATTTCTGAGGTATCATAAGGTATTCCATTGCTTTTTCTTACTGAAAATGTACAGATAAATTCTTGCCTTTGGGGCTGGACAGTGATGCAACAGTAAAATATCATGCTCTGTGAGGCTGACCCCTATGGGAAAGTTCCAGGTCTGCATTCTGGAGATTTTCCATAGTACACTGGGAATGTGTGTTCCCATGATCCGGGGCTGAGGCTGGGGTTGAATTGCAGTGTCAAGACCATTACGGGGGTGTTCTCATTCTCTCTCTCTCTCTCTGTCACAGCATAAATAAACTAAAAAAAAACTTCTTGTGTGTGTTAACATCTCCAAAGAATACAATCTAAGGCTTAAATTTCAACGATGAGCCTTGAGGGTTTTCAAGCAGAGGAAAATAGAGGCGATGGGATATTTTCCTATATATGTTTAGGAAGGAACCATCTTCCTAGGCTGTGGAAGCTCGCTGAGGCTGGGAGGGAATAATTGTACAGGTCATTCACAACACAGTCCACAGGCAGTGAACTATTCTGCCTTCCCATTCCAATGGGAAGCGTGCCTTATCGACAGTGCGTTTATGTCTTAATTAGTATCCTGCTATTATAATTACAGGAGCTAATTATTAAAGAAACATGCAGCCAATTGGTATGGAGGGCAGACTGAAAACAACTAAGGGGGGGGGTTAGTACTATTCCTGAATCAATGTATCAATTAAGTAGCTAAACAATTATCTAAAACCCTGAACTCCTTATACCTGCCCACTTCATGGAGTTGTACAATTGATACTGCCGTGTTACAGCAAGCACAGGGCCCTGGATAGTAACACCGACTATCTGTGCTTCAGGAAGCATATCTGAATGTGGAGGGTAAGAATAGTGTCCACCTCCTGATGCCACCAAGAGAAATCCTTTGTCAGTGCTCCATAAACTATTATTATGCACATGGTTCCTAGGCAGTAGAGACAGCAAAAATCTTCCCTAGACGTTTCTAAACATGTCAGGATTTGATTTTAATACTTAAGGCAAAAAGTTAATTCTATTTAAAGGAGAATTTGATTCTCTCCTAAGCTCCCTTTAAGTGCAATATTTCATTTGGATCTCTGCAATTCAAACTCCTAACAGGGGAGGTCCTAACAAAGGACTGAGTTCTGGTGTTTAAAACTAAAGTCCAGAGGGACCAGAAGTTGGCATAATGGCTATGTTGCTGGACTCCCATGTAGGTGACTGTGGTTCGAGTCCCGGACTCGGTGGCTTAAACTCATGCTGAGTGTATGTGCTTGCATGCCCAAGATCCTGAGAGGAGAATGGAGGAGAAGGGACTGTGGCCTGGCCATCCCCACTGGGGGGTGATTTCTCGCTTTCTGTCTCTCTGTCTCTCTCTGTCTTTCTGGTGAGCGCATGTGCCCTATAGCAAAAACCTCTCAAAAAAAAAAAAATACTAAAGTCCAGAAAGCACTAACCCAGTATGTTGGAACCAAGTGCTTCATAAATGTTATTCCAAATCATGGAATCATGAATGTCATTTCTATAAAGTTTCTCTGAAATCATACTTTTTTTCTCTTCTTTGTCATTTTATTATGGATGAAAAAGCTGTGAGCACAACAGCTTCAGGACCAGCAATTAGCGTAATGGTTATGTCCCTGGACTCCCATGTAATTGACTGCGGTTTGAGTCCTGGAACTGGTGTCTTAAATTCACACCAGGCACATGGGTGTGTGTGCCTAAGGTACTGAGAGGAGAATGGAGAAAAAGGGATTGCGGCGTGGCCATCCCCCCTTGGGGGTGATTTGTCGCTTTCTGTCTCTATGTCTCTGTCTTCCTAGTAGCACACGCACCCTATAGCAAAAACCTCTCAAAACAAAACAAAAAACAACAGCTTCTTCAAGCCCATCTCCAGCCTATTCACACTTGAGGCAGTCTAGATTGTGGCTGGGTTACTTTTGGGTGGAAATGTCTTTATATCCTCACATGTGGGAATAAATACCGAAGTATTCACCATGAAACTTCCCTTCTCAGGTTTTCATATTTTACAAGGGAGCCAATTAAAGTGTATACCACAGTATAACGTGTTTGGTTGCATTGTATTTTTAATTATTTAGCAGTCTATTGAGAGAATTTTTCCTGTACAATGAAAAAGGAAGTAAATAATCTTGATTTGATTTTAAAACCGTGTCTAGATCTGTGATCTAGTTTTTCCTTACTGATCTGTATTTTTAATACATTGGACACAGATTCAATGGTTGACACTTTTTATGCTATTGGACTTGTGATGCGTCTTTGCCAATCAATTTCTCTCCTGGAATTGCTGCACATATGTGTTGGCATTGAATCCAACTATCTTCTCCCAAGGTTTTTGCAGGTAGGTTTTTAATCACTATTATTATTATTAAATCTGTCTCATATTAATTTTGTTCTATTTACATTCTATCTTGACTTCATGGCAGTTACAAACCCAACCCTTGCCTTAACCACAGAGAAGAAGAATTAACTCCCTGGGAAGATTGCCTTATTCTAAAACACTGCTTAGTTAAAACAGCTGATTGGACACAATGCAGTGAAGCTTGTTGATCTTGTAGCATTACATTGATCCTATCCTGGGAGGAGATTTCATAGCCACTTTTCTTCACTATGTCACTGCTCAAGATAGTATAAGACAATGAGGAGGCATTCAGGTTAGAGCTACTCAGGCTTGGGTTTGATGCCTGGTCTTCTACTTACTACTGAATGATCATACCTACAACCATCGGGCTGCCACAGGGTAAGGACAATACACACACCCCTGGCAAAGGGTAGGTGATTAAAAAACAAAACCCCCACTGCTCCCTTTATCCCTATCCAGAGAGTAGAATGCTCTCCAGCCATGTCTTGGTCATTTCATCACTTTTACTGAACAAAAATAGAAAGGACAGATCCTATATGTTTATCTAGTATAACACCTTAATATAGACTTGTGGCTCACACAGACCTGAAATCAAGTCCTTGGTCTTTCTCTTCCTAGTAGTACGGATTTAAGCAGGTCACTCCATAACTGACTAGTCATTAACCTGAGCCTCCTTTCTTCATGTGATGGGAAAATATGTATCCTAGAAAGCAGCTGATTAAGTTCTTGGCACGTAGTTTAAGGATACAATACTTGGTAGATATTTACTATTATTTTAGCTATTTTTCTGTCTGCCATGTTTTTTAATCCTAGGTTACTGTGTTCTCCTAAAAGGTTGGAGGAAGATGAGAAATTATTAATAGAGACCCAATTTGGAAAAATCATTGCTAGATTAAGGCAAAAAATGTAAAACGTGGTATTTTTCATAAGGAATTGAAGATAAAGTTTAGGTGACTGTATGGACATGTGTTTCAAATCTACAGAAGCAGGTATCTATTAACATAGTTTATGTATCCCCAAAATACAAACTGGATAAATAACTAAGTTTAACAAATTCACATTGTAAAAATAACTAAAACGTCAGAATCTCATTATGTTGGGACCAGCAGTTGGCATAATAGCTATGTAGCTGGACTCCCATGTAGTCAGTTGGCCGCGGTTCAAGTCTCAGACCCGGTGGCTTAAACTCACGCCAGGTACATGTGCGTGCGTGCCCAAGATCCCGAGAGGAGAGTGGAGGAGAAGGGATTGCAGCCTGGCCATCCCCCCTGGGGGGTGACTTCTCGCTTTCTGTCTCTCTGTCTCTCTCTGTCTTTCTGGTGAGTGCACACACCCTATAGCAAAAATCTCTCCAAAAAAAGAAAAAAAAAAGAATCTCATTATGTCACCAGCACCTAACAAATCCCATGACATAAATGCACGTTTCAAATTTTGCTGAATGAAAGAGAAAGGTATCATTAAAATTTGCTTGAAATACCATACAAGTTTAAAAGATATAACTAGTAATCTAACCCTAAGAAGCTTATTAAGAATGTGACATTATAGGGACCAGCAGATGGTGTAATGGTTTTGTTGCTGGACTCCCATATAACTGACCACAGTTTGAGTCCTAGATCCCACCACTTGAAACTCACCCAGGTGCATGTGTGTACATTCCCACGATCCCAGGAGAACAGGGGAGAGATTGTGGTATGGCCATCCCCTCTGGGGGGTGATTTCTCACTTTCTGTTTATTTCTCTCTCTCTCTGTTTCTCCAGCAAGTGCATGTGCCCTAAGGCAAAACTCTCTCTCAAAAAAAGTGACATTATAACTTTATGGAATATTTAAAATTTTATTGATCAAATAAATGAAGAAAATATGAACTTCAAAAAGTTCATGTAAATGGAATTAAATTTTTATTTTAGTGCGAAAACATTTTGAAATCATGCATAGTTTATTCATAATATGCATGTTTCCTGAACTTTTTGAAGATCTCTTAATAATATCCATTATGATGAAGATTTTTTTTAAGAGGTTTTTGCAATAGGGTGTGTGTGCTTGCAAGAGAGACAGAGACAGACAGAAAACGAGAAATCACTCCCTGGGGAAATGGCCTTGCCACAATCCCTTCTCCTCCGTTTTCCTCTCGGGATCTTGGGCACACACACACATGTGCCTGATGTGAGTTTAAGCTACCAGGTTCAGGACTTAAACTGCAGTCAACTACATGGGAGTCCAGCAACAGTCATTATGCCAACTGCTGGTCCCTATGATGAAGATATTTTAAGGGTAGAAATATCAAATATAAAATAAAATGGGCAATGACATCTAAACTAATAGTATAGTAGTAGATAACTAGCTAAGACCTAAATGGAATTCCCTTAGACAGTTTCTTACAAAATAAAAAGGGTACAGATCTGTCACAGATGCTGCAAATTTGGTAACCAGATTTACTGGTATAATTGCCTGTTTAACAGGTGTGCTGTACTTGGAAACAACCAAACTGCATATAGTACTAGAATCCTATAATTCTAATCTTGGAAAACAGAATTAACCTTGGTTAAATCACAGCTGCATTCTATGATATAGAGTTATTTCATTTAGAGTATGATAAATTTTATTTAAAATGTATTTTTTGGCATACTTTTTAAAATTAAAAGTGCTTTTTACTTTTTTTTTTTTTTGGATAAATTGTTAAAGCTAGTGTCATGGTTAAATACCATTTTCAAAATTAATAGTAGTGAGGCCAACCCATGGTATGGTGGTTAGGGTGACTGAATCTCATGGCCCACTGTGTGGTTTGAGTCCTGGACTCAACAGCTTGAGAAATAGCAGGCATGTGTTCTTGCATGCCAAAAGTCCAGAACAGAGGGAGAAGTGAAGGTGGAGGGGTTGTGGCATGACCATTCCCCATGGGGGGATGCTTTCTCACTCAGTACCCCCTCCCATCTCAATCAGGAGAGCACAAGAACCCTCTGGCAAATTAAAAAATAACATTTAGAGTAGTCTTCATTTTAGTTATTGTCAGTAGGGAATGCATCAAATGAGAATAGATAACCTTGCAAGAAAAACTGAGAATCTTGAATATGCCTAGAAAAATGGGCACATACTTTATAAAATTATCTAGGCTCATTTAATAATAGAAATTATTGCATAACCCAAAAATCTGATTTCTTGGAGTCTCCAAACATTTCAGAATATATATATTTGTGTGTGTGTGTATTTTTTGAGAGGTTTTTGCTATAGGGCATGTGCACTTGCCAGAGAGACAGAAACAAAGAGATAGAAAGTGAGAAATCACCCCCCGCAGGGGGGATGGCCACACCACAATCCCTTCTTCTCCATTCTCCTCAAAGGATCTTGGGTACGCACACACATGCCCCCAGCATGAGTTTTAAGTCACCGAACCCAGGACTCAAACCATGGTCAGCCATGTGGGAGTCTAGTGATGTAACCATTACACCTTTTGCTGGTGCCACATTTCGGAATATTTAAATGTGGTTTTAGTTACTGCTACATAAAACTCTACTGGCTTACAGAACCATAGTCACTGTACTTCAGAGACTCAAATCCTGGTTTGGGAATTAAATGATGCAAATACACCCATACTTTTTATTCACATGTGAGTTTGCAAAGTCTGTTATGGAGCTCAAATGACTTTCAGTTTGTTATTGGGAGAGACATAACAAGTCAAGGATCATCACTTCAGGGAAGACCATTACCATTCTCATCCTGAGATGATGATGATTGATTTCTGTTGAGGTTGTTTTGCTTCCTCTTTTTTATCTCTTTTGAGATTTTATCTGCCCTCTTTTATTCACTTATCATCCTTTCCATGGTTCTCAGAATGAAAACAGTGTTGGAAAAAGCTTCAGAAACACATCATCATGTCCACAGTTCCATTTTCTCATCTGTCAGAGTTCTGTACTCAATTAGAATCCCCTAATTATGGAGGTGATTCTGAGGCCTCAGCTTTAAAATGTTGAAACAAAACTCTCCGGTTGTGTAATAATTTTTGGTTTTCCTGTTTCCCTATTTTTAGATGAAGAAACCATAGTTGAGAGAGTGGGTGAGTTACTTACACTATACAGATTACACGAACTATCATGAAAAAGAATGGTGTCCAGCTGCATTTTAAATAGGCTGAAAATAATATCTGCACGATTGTGATGCTATTTTGATATTACCTTCAAGAGAATGCTAAGCCATAGCTGAATATTTTTTTGGCAACTGGTCTCCCAATATATCAAAAGCAATAGTTCCAACAAGCAATAAAAGCTAGCTAAACTGAGTAATTAGTATCACATGTGTCAAGTAGTGGTGGTGTATAATACACACAGGCTAGATTTGGGGCTCTTTGCTTTGTTCTGTATATTTAAAAATATTTTACATGCACATCTTTATTGTGACACCTTGAGAGAAAGGGGAAGCCATTTAAAATATCTAAAATTATACAGGATTGCTAAAGAAAAGAAAGAATAACCCATTGACTATAAGATAATCACTCAGTAAGTAGATATGTATTTTATTTTTTATACACTTAAGAAAGGGGAAAAACCATAACATAAATAACTATTATATATTCCAGTTTTTGCAAACATTCACATATCACTTAAATTATATAAATGTAGTAAACTTTGATATTTTTAATTTTTTAAATGGGAAAGTAAAAGAGGTCTAAAGAAACATATAAAATGATAATATAAAAGAAAACTAAGCAAATCTCTTCTCCAACCTCTTCCTCCCAAATGAGCTAGCATATTTTATTTGGTTGGCAAAAAATGTCAAATAGAAAAATTAGTTGATTTTGGTAGATTTAATCAAAATAACCTGACTTTAATAGAATAGTAATAATACTAGCCCAGAAATACTGATTTTGAGGGGCTTTGTTCAGACTTTGCTTGTTCAGAGGCCTAAGAAAGATTTTTTTTTTATTTGCTGATGAAGCCTTACGATGTTTCAACTCAAGGACAGGGGGGAAAGACCATATAATTAAACT